TGTTTATGTTTTAATGAATTTTTCCTCTTCCAAATGGGAAAGGAGATTTTATATGAATTGATGAGAATTCATTGTGCTGTGTGAAACTATTATTTGAGGCTTGTATACAAAATTCAATGTAGGACCTGATGTTTCGCAACTCTAAATGGTACTTGTATTTAGCATGTATTAATTGATGGAGTTCACTGTTTTGTGAATTATATGTTCACAATAAAGTGAATAATTTCCGGTTACAAAGACATTCATGACGAATGAATCTCGAAGTAATCACATAATAAGTTTCCAGTTTATAAATTTTGAGGGTGGAATTAATGTGGAAACAGAAAACAAAGTTAACGTGTATGAATCGCTTGCATGAGTGTGATGTGATTGGATTTATGGGTTTTGAATCTATATTATGTTTCATTTATCCTTTTAATGTAATTGCTTCTGTTACTTCCTTTATTGGGTTTTATTATTGTTATGCTTAAATATTCATTAATGGGAACGTTTGCGTTCATGGTGTGATTTCATATATGGTCATCTTGTTAGAAATTTTGGAAGTTAATTGTTATATTAAAAGAGATTATTTAATTATATTAAGTTTTATAACCTCCACATATATATATACACTCTTAATGTTAGGGGTTTTATTGGGTTTAGTTAATGAGTATTCCGGTGAATTTAATCCCTTCCATTTGTTGAGGTTTTATTGTTTTCGGCTGATGGATATATTAAATTGGTTTGAATAGTTGCTAACCTCCTATAATTCCATCAAGATTTTCTCTCCTTAAATAATCATTTTTATTGTGCCATTGGCTTCATATATAAAAATACACTGCAACATTGATGTTATGAGTTTCATAACCCTTGTATATAAATGCCATGTGAGTGGTCTTCTGTGGATTTTAATATATTACCGTTGTGTGGATAATTAAACTCGTTAGTGGAATTTAAAATACATTACGTGATGACAATTTTGACGGAAATATTTGATTATATGAATGAAACATTTTATATCCTATGTATCTGTATTTTTATGTGGTGATTATTTTAATAGCCTAGCATTGGGAACAAACTTTAAATTTAATCTGTTGTGACGCCTTGTGAAATTAGAGTGATATTTTTAATTCGAATTTATAATTAGAATGGGAGGAGATATTGGTGTGAAATCCTAATTTAATTAGAATTATTATTGATGAGGTATGTAAATAATTTTCTATAAAAATGAATATTTGAAAGTGTGGGAGTGCCTAAAATGTGGGGTATCTTACAAAAATAATATTGGTGAAAAAAATATGCTTTAATTTATTTCAAATTATGTTAGTCTCATTTTGCAAATCTCAATATGTGTGTTGTGATTAAAAATAAATAATAATAATAATAATAAGTGGAGGTTTTGTTATTTGCTATTGAGAGCAAATTTGCTGAATTATCAAATTTTTTTGTGTTGCTTAGAACAAGCATTATATGGGTATGAAAATTTAGTCATTTATTTAGTATGGAGATAAATGCGCTTTAATTTTCATAACATTATTATTTTTGGATAAATAATTTATCTGGATATAAACATACATGAGTATGCACAACTATTGTGAACATTGAATGTGAATATAAAATATTTGTAATGTTGTGTTGCTTCAAAATTTGGTATGAAAGTATGACTGAAACAAATATGGTTCTAAGTGTTGAAATCATAAAAGAATAAGATTTTGAGAGAAATGTTTTTAAAACTTGGTTTTAAAAAACCAATATGTGAATATTCTTTATGATGCCAACATTTTGTTTGATGTAGTTGTGCAACTCAATTTGTGTATACACAAATTTTTGAGAATTTGTTACATTAAGTTAATTTTTGTCATGTAAATTTTATTGTAAGAATGAATACATGTTCAAATATGGAGTCTTATGAGAGAAATGAAATATTCAAGGGGTACCATAAATGTTGGTATCATGCATGGTGGATTCTCGCTGTATTGAGATACACGGATGTTAACTGAATTTCAAGTTATTTGAGAAAATCCACTAGTGATTATTCACCTATAGTGGTGATTAAAGGCTAAGTTGTTGAAAACTCCTCAGCAAATATATTGACGCAGAACCGACACTTAGTGTTGATGAGTTGTGATTGCTAAAAGGCAATAACCATTGTAAAAAAACAATAATGCAAGTACATATCGTTTGAGATACTATGTGAATAAGCCAGCTTAAAAATTACAGAGTTATCTCAATCGATTTTGTGAGGTCGAAAGCGGACCTAGTGGATCCATTAACAAAACCCCGGGAAGGAACAAATTAGTCTAGGGGAATGGGACTAAAACCAATTTGAAATTAACAATGATGGCAACGCAACCTTTGTGATTGGTGATCCCATGAAGAAGGTTCAATGGGTAAGAACAAGTCATCTGCTAGCACTAAAATAAAATACCGGTCCCTTCCTGTGGCATGAGAAAGTGTTAGAATGCATTTTGGTGAGGCTGAGCGAAAGCTTTTAATGATTTCATAATCCTATGGGATGATGTGCTCATTGCAGGTACATTTAATGAAATCATCTCTACGAATGTGGAGCAGGGTCGCTCCTATGAGATCGTGGTGAAATCATTAAAGCATTCGTTATGTACCAGGCACGCGCATGGCCGTCTTAACGCGCAAAAATGCTGTTAACAGCAGAAATGTAGGGGTATAATTTGACTAATAATGCCTCTAGTATACGTCCAAGAGATGTGAGTTCATAGTCCATAAGACCACTGACATCTCTATGTACTAAGTGTTATTAGTCTAGGTCTAGTTCATAGTCCAGAGGACTACTAGATACAATGGTTATATCCGTGTGTGTAACTCAGCTAAAGTTACTTCCTTTGACACATGTGGGGGATTGTTGTAAATATTATGTGTGGGTGTGTCAAAGGAAGAGTTCCACATCGCTTGGGATTGTGAGGGTCCAAGTAATAAGTGGTCTTGGGCTGCTAAATGTGCCAAGAGGAGGAGTGGGCTCGTACGCACAATGGGCCACCAGGGATAAATCCGACAATTTCTCCTCACCCCCTGTGCATGAGTCAAACGCAGTACTGGGCACTTTTTATGAAAAATATCTGTCTAATTAATTCACCTCCTTAATCACCATTATACCTCTTCAATATTTGTAATTGACGTCTTTAATAATACTAAATCCTCATTAAGTGAGTTAATGATATTGAAACCGAAACTTAATTGTGTTTAAGTACCCAATGCTCCCTTGTGATCCGCGGCCTATAAATGGGGCATGAGATAAAGTTCACAACGACTGAGCTTTGAGCTTTCGGGCAACTTTCTTCCCTCCTCTAGTATTCTGCCTTGCTGAGTTCTTTTATCTTTCGCTATTCTACTCACCCTGTTCTTATAGGAAGAATCCGTTTAATCCCGGGAAGTACCACTTCTTACTTTGCCGGTAGTTACGGAATAGCTCTTAAGGACAGTGTTTGTAAGACACGACTCGGATTTACCGTTTCTTTGCAGGCATTGCTGTCAACAGGTTTTGCCTAGCATTATAGAGGAGGTGGAAGATCTGCTGGATTTTGGAGAATTTTGGTGCTGCCGCCAACATCTTCTTCATATCAAAATAACTCAGACCATTTAATAAAATTCACCTTTAACTTTTATATATATATTTATATATATATATATTCTTAATCGGTCTCCTAATTGTTATTGTTGGAAATGAGCTTACTACTTTGAGTTCTTAATATAAGAACTCAATAACTAATTTTTGAATATTAAAAAAATAGTTAGGTTGCATATTTCTTAAAATATTCTTACTAATAATGTACAATTCTAAACATAGCATTAATAGGTGGCTGCTATGGTCTTTTGACCCAAAAAAAAAAAGTCGCCAGATGCACTTCTGTCCGCGTTTGGCTGTAATTCTACACTAGTGCACTAAAGCAGGACAGGAAAACGAGTCAAAGTCCTAAGATCGATGACCTTAAGGTGGTTACAGCATGGGGTTAATTGCAGCGGTTTAATCACACTTGTTCGTTAATAATTAGTAATTATAGGTAGGGGTGTGTATGAATCAGAGTGGACCGTGTTTGCTATCAAGTTGAAATCTGATCTAATAAAGACCTTAGGTTGAAAAAGACAGCCCGATGTCTAGCCCAATCCAGTATCAATCTGAGATCGGATTGGATCGGATCTGGTCCACCAGACTTTCTAGACTAGTCTAGGCAGTCTAGGACCTCAATTTAAATTTTTTTTAAATTTTTTTCTTTAAAGGAGGCAAGATTTCAATCTATTATATAAAATTTTTCACAGGTTTTGATCCAAACTTGATCAAATTTGATCATTCCCTTTTAATTTCTTAATAATTTCATGTTTCATTTATTAATCATGATCAACATAGATATTATATTGAATAAAATACATACACATACTCATTATTTAAGAAGTTAATAAATAAATCTTGATTATTTGAACAGACAAAAAAAACTTAAATAGAAGAATTAAAACAATATAAATAATAATTAAAAATTAAAAAATTGAGCTAGACTGGACTTGACCAACTGGTCTTAGAGGTTAGTTCCTAGTCCAGTCCAACCCAATCAGACTAGTCCTGTCCAATCTAGTCCAGTCTTGCTTCGAGTCAATTTTCTCTAAACTGGACTGGATTAGGTTTGCTCAGGTTGAACTGAACTATATTAGACCACCAGATTTTTGTATAGTCCTAATTAAATTAGGCTCTTGCAAACGATGGAATCTAAATGCTTTTAAACTTTGTGAGGCAAATTATTTCATATATAGCTAGAAAAAAACATAACAACAAAAACTAAACAATCGTATAGCTGAAGGGTCCTCGCTTGAACTCCTCTATACATGCACCACCCGTAATTATATAAGAAATAATGCACTGGGGATCCTGATCAGATATGCTCGTGTTTACCCCACCCACCATCTGCATGTACTCACAGAATATCTTTTAGCCATACGGATCTTTCATGTGTGATCATGTCCCTTGAAAAGAATGGAAGACGAAGATAACGCTTTTATTTCCTTACGTACTGAATATGCTTTTATTCATAAGCTTTGCTTTTCTACTCAGTTTCATTGGAACATTTCTAAAACACATACAAGCAATCTCAATTGGTAAACCAGCAACCAAAGTTGATCGCGTACGCTTCATTAGACTAGGTAACGCACCAAGAACTAGCGAGTCATATATGCCATGCAACAACGGATTTTTGTTTTAGCTCATCCCTAACCAAAGACTCCACCCGTTTTCTACCATCCCAAGGAGAGGCAAAAAAAAAAAAACAGAGAGAGAGAGAGAGAGAGAGAGAAAGGAACAGAAAATGGCTGATGACTAAATACAAGTTATATATGTTTATGTACTTTTCAAGGCTCGTTTTAATAACCACCTAAACATTATTCACCCCCCACCTTTGATTTTCCATAAACTAATTATTAACTGATACTTGATCAGGCTACTGCCATTAATTATAACCTTGTGTTGTTCTCAGAGTTACGTTGTCCTAACATCGCCATGCTGACGTGGCAACCATGGCCCGCTCGTGCCAGCAGAGAACCAGCTCGGCATGTCGTTTCGCCACCTGGAACCCTCGAATCTGAACTTTGGCCAGCAAGCACTCGGCTTGGAAATCAGCAAACTGGCTCAACTGCACCGGCCTCATTCCGGCCCCGTAAAACACCTCCCTCCATGGCGACACCATCCTTCCGGCTCCTTCCACCGCCGCCATGATCTGCGGACGCAGCAGAAGCAACTCGATTCTTTTAACCCAGTCGCCTCCTCCCCCCACTGCGGTTGACGCATCCAACGACTCCAGCATCATTGAGTAGAACTCCAAGCTGTTCACCACCCCCCGACGGAACGACGTCGTTGCGGACGCCTCCGTCCACCCTTCACCATCTACAAATACCACCACACTCGGGGAAATCCTTCGAACGTCGGACAAAAACGCAGCCATGTTGTTGGTCGAACCGAGACGGCGGAATATGGAAGGAGATAATAGAACAGCCGACTTCTCTCCGTCCATGAACTTGACAGCCTTGAACGACATCGTCTCGAAGGTGCGCAGAGGCACAAACTCGACTTGGACTCGGATCCTGAGCTCAAGAGCGAACTGGTTCAGGTTCTCTCGTATCAACTTGCACTCGGCGGCGTATTCTTCCGGCACCAAGGCTGTGATTCGGAGTAGTGGCAAGTTGATTTTACACGATTCAGCCTTCTCCGCGATCTCCTTCATCAGCGAAGCGTACTGAATTCCGAGGCCGATGTCGAAATCGATGACGTGCACAAAGGAAGATCCATGAAGAGCTTCGAGGAGTGCTTGGTTGGTGGTGAAGATGGAGAACATGGGTATTGGAGAGATACCAGAAAACGCCTTGAAGGTTTTGATGCTCTGCACGATTTCCAACAGTGAAGAAACGCGAGGAGTATGGTTCGACCCGGAGAGAAGAGATTGGAGGGCTTCTTTGAAATAAAACGCAGCTCTCTGGAGAGGCTTTCCGACGGGAGATCGTAGCCTCTGATTAAGCCTGTCCAGTATAGCCTGGGCGAGATGCAGCTGGTTCGAATCAAAGCAATCCGCTGCACGGATAAGCAAGTCAATCAAATCAAAACCGTTGCTACTCCAATTGCTGTTAGGGTTGAACTCGTAAACCAAATGATCCAAACCGTTGACACTGTATCCCAGATTTTGATTGGAGTAAATATCAGAGAGGTTGAAATCCGCAGAAGCGTGATCGAACAGTGCGGGGTCATGTGAAGGAGGGAACTCAGGAAGAATGGGGACCTGAGGCTCACATGGATTTGGCTGAGGAATACTCTTCAAAGAAGTGTCATGTAAATCCAAGTCCTTCATAATGGAATCCCAATCCAGACTGTGAAACGCATGCTCGTCCACCTCGGCAGAGTCCTCCGGCGGCTTGGACACGGACTCAATAACGGCAGAGTGATCCCGTGGAGGGCTAGGGCTCCGGCAGAGGTCGAGAACCGATGTGGGTTCGTAGCACAAAGAAGGGTTAATAAGGGAAGGGCTCTGGAGAGAAATATTTAGGTTTGTGTTAGTGGAGGTAGAGGTGGTGGTGGTGGTGTTTGTGTTGTTATTGTTGTTAGAGAGAGAGGGTTTAAGGGATGCCTGTGGGGATGAAGAAACGGGAACTCTCATCGCTAAGCGAATAAGGAAGGAAGGACTGAAGGAGAGGCTAAGAAAAGATGATATACCTATATGCTTCTAAATAGAGATGTTCTTTGAGTGGTTTTGGCAGTGAAAGTGAGGGGAGCAGCGAGGCTGCTTTTGTGCGTCGTGATGATGATGATGTGGTGGTGGTGGTTTAGTGGGTTTTTTTTTTTTTTTTTGGGGGGGGGTCATCTCTTAGCTTTATCTGAGTTAGTGCATGTAAAGGGGAGTTGTGGGGTTACATATCTGTGGGGGATGCCATGTGTGGGATCAATTAATAGGGTCAATGCATGGCCATATATATATATATATATATATATATGCATAATAATCAACTTGTGTGCGTGAGCCACAACCCTTTCTATCTCCATGAACCTTCAAGTTGAAGCCTCTAATAGCTTTAACCCTCAACCTTTCGTCTTTTCGCTTGCTTTTTTGTTTTTGGCCCTTTAATTTTTCCCATCTCTTCAAAGCAAACCTTTTTTGCGAAATGATTAAAGTCCGAATTAAGCATAGTTCCAGTTGCTCAGTTATAATTATCAAATGAGGCCTTTGATAAAACTGTAGCATCAGCTTAATTCGATCGTACGTACCAAATATTCATATTTCAAATTCTAATTACCTAGCTTTATTTGAAAAAACTAATAATATCTAGGACGCTGAACACTGTGCACACCATAAAAAGTTTTCTTTAGTATTCATCTCTTTTAGAAACCGAAGAATTTTTAGAAGGGCTTCATGGATATATATATATATATATATATATATATAACCCTTTGGCAAAATATTCATTGGATCGGGAAGCAAATTCCAGGCTCCATACTCAAATTAAAACCAAATAGAGTTAATTTCACATTAAAAGAATTCATATCTTCTAGAGTTACGTTCAAAGCTTTTTTTGTTTGTAAAGTTGGTAAAAATAAGTGAACTACTTTTAGATATTCACTCTTTGTTTTTAAGTAAACATTGCAGAGTGAGAAAGTTCAATCAGGCAGAATTAATGGGAAAGTTAAAACGTCAAAGGAGTGTTTGAATTGTGAAAAGACAAAAGAGTGAAATAATGAGCGTTAAAGTTGCAATAGTGAAGAGTGGACCCAGAAAAGGTTCTAAAATGAAGCCCAAGACAAGCGCACTAGCTAGCTAGCCAGCACCCTCCCAGTCCCATCTTTTTCTTTATGCCCTCCCCAAAAACAAAAGCTTTGGGAAAGGTCCATTATGATGAACTACTTTGTATGTTGGCATGCCTTCTCCTTCCTTTTCCTTTCTTTACCTCTCTCCCTCAACCCCCAAGGATCCACATCTAGCTAATGTGAAAAGGATCGATCGAACCACGTTAAAAAAAAAAAACACACACACACAAAAGGAACTCCAATATTTGTTCACGAATCTTGGCTTTTTTGACTTCCTCCCCTATATTTTTAATAAAGTGGTCGATGGTCTTTATGAGCAGTAAAAATTGGTGGGATTCAGTATCTGTGTAATTGCAGATGATATATATATTACGTTAGGTTTGCCACTGCATGTTCCATTGAATCATATCGATTCGTATGAAGAAAGTTTCGTTAGCTTTATTCTTTTATGTGGAAACATACACCCAGTCCTGTTTTTCACGTTAGCTGGCTTTTGTTTTCCCTTCTCTGTTTGACATTTATTTCAACAATTCTTTTAGTTTAGAACTCAATGTCATTTCCGCCTCTGAGGGGATCCTTTCAAATTCATACAACATAGAATGCAGTTTAATTAAATATTAATTAAGGTTTTATATAAACGACATCTTAAACAATACTACCTCTGGTCTTAATTATAAGATCTCGTTTGTAGACTACGAACGAGATTTTATAATTAGGACCGGAAGTAATAATAAGAGTCATTGGTTTATAGAAATATACGTGCAAGAGCTCTTATTTATATATAAATTTTATTATTTCATCTGATGAATAAACTGTCTCTTCTCAGCTCTTTCTTTCGGCTGGCAAGGATCATAATGTATTACTAGATATATATTAGTAATCACCTACCTTTAAGTTTTGTTTAATTTATAATATGCACTCACGTGTCTTTTTATCGTTTGTATTGTAGGCTTTGTCATAAAATCTCTCTCTTAAAACCAACAGACTGTTGACTAAGATAGTAAACAGTCTTGTCTTCTTTCAACGTGGTTTAAGAATACTTTGAGTTACACAAAAAAAAAAATCTGTTTTTTTTAATCTAACAAATAAAGTGGAGGATGCTCGTGTTGCTCACTTTGTGAAAGAAGCTCCCTCCCATGATCTTCACTCAATATTTGTTAATTGACTAACACATGAGTGACTTAATTGAATGAAGATCGTATTTGTCATTTCTCAGGAATCAGACATATGGATCGTTCACACTCGGAAACAAAAATTAACATAATTTTCTGCGATTCAAGCCGCAGAATCACCCTTTTAACACAGTGGACTCCTCCTTTAATCAATATTCCTCTAATTAATTAATTTAAGCGGGGCCTAACGCTTGACGTGGAACCCTGACGTGATTAGTCAGGGCCGACTTTTCGGTGGACCCCACAGGAGGGGCCCTCTTTTTTTTTGTGTTTTGTCGGATATGCATCATGTATGGGCGGGTTAAATGGACAAAAAGGGAGTGTGGAGCACGCTCCAAGAGCTGCGGTGAGGGGAGAGGAATGGAATATGTTCGGAGTTGGGAAGGGCCAATGATCTGTGACAGGCGACAGGGCATCCAATTTGATGTGTAGTCCGTTCGTCCGTCTCCAAGTTACGTGCCTCATTTTTCAATTACGTACCTCACACTCACACGACCTCCTCATTATTTCTTTTTCATTTTTTTAACAAAATTACAAATTTAGACACCATAACTGTTTGATACATAAAATAAAATCAAAATAAAAATTGTATATGAAATCCTGTTCAAAAATTTAATTGGTTAAAAAAATTTAAATTTGAGTACATCAACCATGATCTATGAGTACAATTTTTCTTCTGCTGTGTATAACATATCTTTCGCTGCATGCGAGTAACTTCTGTATTGATAATTATTACATATCACTGAGGATATATTACACACAATGGGAAAAAAAGTTGCACTCACAAATTATGGATGCACTCGCTCAATTTAATCCTTTTAAACAATTAAATTTTTAAATAGAAACTCCCGTATGCATATGCTTTCGCCATATATGAAATAATGGAAGATGCAGCCCATGCTTTGTTGATGAGGGAGAAGCTTAGCAGAAAGTTAGGCCTCCTGAAATTAAAAAGCGTCTTTATGTCCATTTGCTATGTCTGGGAAGCATAATACTCCTCTGATCCTAAATATAAGACTTATTTTATAGTGTAATTTATACTATGCAAGAATATCATATCAATCAGCGACCAATAGTACAAACAAAAGTTTGTATATTTTTTTGACTCTTGCATGCATGTAGCACACTTTTTTTTAAAATCAATTTCCTATATCTCATTTATAGATGTGCTCCACAATCATCGGCTTTTAATGATTAATTTTTATTTTTTGGCACCAAATATATACACATTTTTCAATGAGAATTTGAACTTTAGTTTATTACACTGTGAAGCAATGATTTAAAAAACGGACCGGACGGACGGTCGGACCGGTGAACCGTCAGCCGGACCCGTTAACGGCTCGGTTTGGACCGAAAAACCGTTTATGTAGTTGAACCGGATTGGACCGGAGTTGAGCCGCCATTAAGCCGGAAACCGGAGTTAGACCGGGAACCGAAACGGTTTTCAGAAAACCGGACGGTTTTTTTAGCCTGACGAAAAAAATACTAAAAAATAAAAAAAAATTGACCCCCTCCAATATCCTAACATTTTTTAGACTATTTATAACTATATAGTATTATCTTATTGAAAATTTCACATATTGTGATATTAAAATCGTGAATCACTAGTCTTTTTGTTTGATGTCTGCTCTATATTTTAAAATAATTTTTGATTTGAATAAATTAATAATTTTTAATATTATTAAATATTTTAAACATACATAAATTTAAATATATATAAGGTTTTAGTCATTTTCAATGATTTTATTATACTTTTGGATCATTTAAATACATTTCTAAATTATTTAATAATTTAATTTTTTCATATATATTAATTATATGTATATAATATTGTTTTAAATTAATTATTGTATCACCGGTCCGACCAAACGGTTCGACCGGTCCGACCGATTGAACCATGACCCGTTGATATTTCCGGTTCGACTTCCGGTCCGGCTTTTAAAACATTGCTGTGAAGAACTAGTTTGCCCATTCTTCCAAAACACAGCACTGATTGATTGTCTCATATCTATTTATGCCGTCGTCTTTTCCGGGGTTCATGGGTAAACAACGCCTGGATCTGTCAATGGGCGCAAAGGATCCAATGCTGAAAATCCCAAGCATACGTGAGAGATATTTTCTTTCTTTTTAGTCAGCATGATAAAAAGAAGAGATCGGTAATTATGTGGACTTGTCGTCCCTCTTGTCAACGTTAAGTGTAATGTCTTATGGTATTCAAATTGCGTCATGCATTATTCTATGATATAGTAAAACGGAGGAGAATATATATATATGTGTGTGTGTGTGTGTGTGTGTGTGTGTGTGTGAATATGAAGATGAATAAGAGATGGGGAGGGATAGAGGGAAGGGTTTGGGAGATACTTAAGGATTAAGGATGGGATATGGAAGAGAGAAGGGAGAAAAGAAAAGAAGAACACGAAAGAGACGCGGGTAGGGAGTGGGAAGCTTGAAGAACACAAAAGAAAGAGAGAAGAGAGATTCCATGTTTCATAATTCAAAAAAAAGGTGAGTCCGCATTCACTCGCAAAGTTAAAAGCAGCCCTAGCGCCTGTTTCTTCACAAGTGGCCCCATTTCTCCTCTTTCATATTTTTGGGCATCCTATTGTCACCGTCCTTCCCAATTTTTGTAATTTGTTTATGCGTCTATATGTCTCTCTCTGTATATATAAATGTCTTTTTAAATTCTGAATATAAGATCTTAGTTTATAGTACAAATTATATTACGAATTAGATTTTATATTTAGAACAAGAAGTAGTAGTGAATAAGAAAGAGATTAACAATTTGATTTCAAATTTAAATCTACGTATATAGAAGGTGGCTAGATTAACCTGTAAGTGATTTATACATGTATACCTACAGATCTGCAAAGAAGCGGAATTGTTTAGTGCAAAATTAGATTTTATTTTTAAAACTGGAGGTAACAGAACATAAGGCTTTGCACCTTCTTTCCCTCTGTATATGATCAACGTGTGTGTTGGGTTTGATGGATCTTGTTTCGTTTATATGTCCCAAAATAATAGAACACACACCCAAGCAAAGCTTTACCTCTTTTCTTTCTTTACAATATGGCATGGGGATCCTTCAGGATATGTTTTCTTTTTCTGCTTTCCTTATCAAACTCCCTTCTTTTCTTCTTCTTCTTTTTTTCCTCTTGTAATTTTATTTATTGTAACTATGAATACTTGTTTCTTTTTAATCTTTTTTTCTGCTGCCACAACAATTTATCTCCCGCGTGTGATTCCTCCCACATGTTGCGCCTGGCCTTTTTGCCACTCCCGTTAAAAATTATGTTTCAATGAAATATTTATATTTTTATCATCAAATTAGAACACATATTTTCCTTTTTTGGGGGGGGGGGATCCAAATGCGTAATCGTTGATCCTTCAAAATTAGGAGATAGTGCAAAACGGGCTGGACCCAATCAGACAAAGAGCCATAGGGATACTCATGCAATAGAGAAACCTTGATGAAGGAAGTGTTTGAAAGCACCCAAAAATACTTCTTAGAAGTATTTTTTAGAAAACGAGCAAATTCTTCTACATATTTACTTCGTATATCATAAAAAAAACCTTTAAAATTATGATTTAGTTTTTATCCAAACACTCCATAAAAAGATGTTGAGAATCATGTAAAAACACTGAAAAAAATGTTTCAATTTAAGTAGAAACAAAACTTTTTTCACATACTTATTTCAAATCTTATAAAATTATTTTTAAAAAACTAATCCAAATACACTCAAATTTATATTTATGAATACCTGTCCATTTTTTTATTTAAAATATAATACTTATAATTAACAGTAATCAAAAGAGTCAATTTGAATTAATATTTTTTCCCCAAAAAAATAGTATCCATACCTATCTACGGGTTAGGTAGGGTCGTGAGGTTGACGCGACCTGCTTCATGCCGGGCCCAAACCACCCAATCAATTCGGCCTCACCTCCTGTCTACCTTCTGTAGTTTTCACTGCGCTCCTGAATTTGATCTGACAATGACCCTCCGGTTTTAAGATCAGTACATCCTTATTAAAAAATCATACAATTATTCATTTCAATGGTGATTAAATACGAGATATAGATATAAGATTTTAATCAATTTTATTCTTAAATTCATAATATTTTATTTAAATTATTTACATTGATCGCACATACAAAATCGGTGTTTTTATATTTTCAATGCATATGATTAAGGGGCATCTTATAAAAACTAATACACATTTTTACAAATAATTAACCAAATTAATTTTCTTAATTCAGCTTCTTTATTTAAGATTTAAGGGAGTATATGATAATATTCTCTTAATCTTGAGATGTTTCTCTTGTTTTTTTTTATTTTGTATTTTGAAACATTAGAGAAACCTTATTCTTTATTGAAAAAAAGTAATAGTTGATGATAGTTATATCATTAAACATGTAAAAAAAAATTGTTAGCGTTTTCAATTATGCTCTTACATTAAAAGCCAATACAACATTAATTATATTATTTATAAAGTTTAATTGTATAGAAGGATAAAACAGAGAAAAATATTAAATGCTTTAGAACGATTTTTTTTTATATAAGAGTTTTATTTATTTTATGTATGTACATACGTATATTTATATACTACCTCTGGTCCTAAATGTAAGGCTTTGTTTGTAAATTACAAATGACATCTTATATTTAGGACCAGAGGTAGTATTTAAAATTAAAAATACATGAAAAGCCATGTTCATTTTAACAATTATGCATGATGGTGCCAACTCCAAGTGTTCCACTTCGAAAAAGGAATTTTAGTCGTCGGGGTCACAAATAATAAAGTTTTCTTTCCAATAAGGTGGGAATCTTTGATATCTGCCCTCAATCTTAGAGAGAGGAAGAAGTACCCAAAATCATTTTTGTTTCCTCATGTTGAAAAATTAATCAAAATTACTTCTAACTAACATTAGTGTTATTCATCACGTGGCTACTGATTGAAGGATCTTCTATTTTCCTAAATGCGATGCACCCCTTTGTGGCTCCTTTGATCAATTTGCAAATGGAACCAAGATGCTACATATATATACCTCTCATCTCCCTTGATCTTATTTTTATTTTAAATTAAAATACTATTATGGTTTAATATAATTTTTACATTATACCAGACAATTTTTTTTAAAAAAATTTAATGGACGTCAAGCGTTATCGTTGATCACATATAAAAAGTTTCATCTTTAATTTCGTAATTATGGATCCACCTATTATTTTTTATTTTCTTTATGTCCGGTCTTTATTTAATTAGTCGCAGTTTAGATCTTTTCATGGGGATAAAAACCATATACTTAGATCTCCCCCAAATCCCCTATCAGTTTTCTATCTTTTTCATCAGTAAATACCAAAAACTCCTCTTTCCTTTTTCTCCCTACATGTAATTGATTCAAATCTGATTTCTCACATCCATATCACATTCGTCCCCCTTTTCTGTTCTTATTATCACTTTAATACTCAGCACTCAGTTTCATATAATATCACTAGTTTTGTCACAATTCAGTGCACTGATATAAACTTGGGAGATCCTATGTGCGTCCCAGAAATTGATCACTCCTTAGTCCTAACGGCTGTCCATCTTAGCCGCTCAACTCTGCAGGACTCCAACTTCCATCCCACATACAATTAAGACTTTCAAGATCATATAATTTAAAATTCATAAAAACTACAACTTCAAATATAACCTTCTGAATTTTGAGAGACTGAAGTCCGATTGCAAAACGTCAAAAAAAAAAAAAACGTAAATGATCAAAAATAAAAAAATAAAGCCCTGCACTGTAAGGACTACTTATCCTTGTATTTCCTATTTATACATCTCTCGAGCAACTCATGCTGGAGAAAAAGTAGGAGGAGCAAGGGAGCACGTGTGAAGAGGTCAAAAATGAAAATATTATACAGGAGCCACGGCAGTGTGACAAATACAAATACTCATCAAGAGACAGCCAAAGCATGATGGACAGGAACTCAGGAGTTTGCTGAGGTTATGTATGATACAACAACCGTAATGTCATCGAGCTTGCCACCATAATACCGGAAGCCGGCCTCTTGAGCAGCGGCAGAAAACGGAGTCTGTCTGTTTTTGTCCAGTGCACGCTGACGGGCCAGAGCTGCTATCTTCTGCGCAGTAACTTGGGGTTCAAGTCCCGTTCTAACAGCATGTACTACGACTGCTGTAATTTCATTATTGTATAAGTTGTCAAATAACCCGTCCGTTCCCGCAATCACAACATCTCCTCCAGCAACAGGCACTGTAAACACCTGTTCACATTATTGCAAGAAACATGCATACTTAGGTTGCCTTGGGGTTACCACTAGTTATACAGATTCTTTGCATTTTATTTCTTCTCGTTTCTTGTCAATGTTGAAGAGATAGCCAGACAGTGTGCGGGATACATCACTCGAGTAGGTCTCATACATCACAATAAAACCTACCGCTTAAGTCAGCCTCGTGCATTCTGTATTTTACTTTCTTCAAAATTGACAAGAAATTAAGTAACAAAAATAGAGATCCAAACAACATATGTTTTCAAATACACAGATCTCATCTTCCACGAGGCTTTGCTGCTGAAAAGTACTAATATCATTATTTCGGGAGAACAAACAAGAAAATCAGTTAGCTAACATCTTCAGTGTCTCCTTGAGTGAAAACAGACCCATGCAACTGTACAACTTACAAAATTTAAAACGCAAATCCTCTTTCATGTCTATACAAGATCCACATGCTTTTTATTTTTCATTCTCTCTAATCTGTGTGTGATGAACCTCTCTCTACCAAATAATCAAAGAAACTGATTTTCACTCTCCTCTCTGTTTTCCATCTTCCATACTGAAGGCCTTTTTTTTTTTTGGTTGGGGGTGGGCCGTGTCAAAGGGAAGAGCTGTTCGGTGTCTACACATAGCTTTATGCTGACAACAGGCCACATCTCACTTAAAAAAATGGCTATCGGAAGGAAGACTTCCTTAATTTGAAAATTTACACATGGCTAAAGCAGGCCATTGAAAAGATCAAGGTCATGCCAACATGAAGTGAGGATACTAGTATTTGAAGTTACCTCACCAGAACTGGGTAGATCACCTCCATCGCCACTCTCTAATTGATATGTAAAATTGAAGCCATGCTGTTGAATAGGAGACTTGAAAATGGTGCTTCCATCTCTAACCACAATGAATCCACTGTCACCCAAGTTAATAGCATGCAGCTCCTGGACCAAGAAGTCAAATGGATGGAAGTGAATATCAACAAATCAACAATACTTGTTACATACACACATATGTAGGCAATTATGTGTGTACATGGTAAAAACTAGCCAAGTTTCCTTGAAAAATTCAGTGGCCGCAGAATTTAGTCAATTAAATGCAGGATATAGAACACCAGCCAAACAATATCAAGTGTATAAGCGAGTCAGACGAGAAAAGTATGAGCACGTATGCATATCCATGAGTATTGGCAAGAAAAATGTCATCAAAACACAGGAGAGAAGACGCTAGCAGAAATTCCTACATGCATTAATTCCATTTAGCGTTTGAATTAGAGCTTGGTTGTAGACATGATAAAGTCATCAATCCACAAAGACATTAACACACTGATGATCCTGAATCCTAATTTAGATAAGAGTATAATTATTGTTGTCCAAAATCATGCCCTGCACATCATGTTTCAAACACAAAGTTTGGGCAATATAAGATCAAATGATTGTTACTAATGTAAACTACTGCAGAAGTGGCAGTGCAATTGTCAAAAGCTTTCATGTCGATACAGATAAAAACAAGAGTAACCTTCTGGAGATTCAGTGCCATTAAAATGCTTTTGTGGCTTGGTTCACCTATTTAGAGTCCATTTAATTTATTCTATAGATAATTGACCAAAAGTAATTGGTTTGTATGAACTTAAAATAAAAAAGCAAAACCTTTTCAGCAAGGGCAATTATACAGGCTGTTGATGAACCCTTGGCTCTTGCACTTGAGTGAGCCTTCTCTAACACCCTCGCTGGATTAATAGAACCTTTTGGTTCGTCTTGGATTGCTCTTACTGAATTGGACATAAGTTCACGAGAAAAGAGTCCCGCATTAACACCAACTTCTGCCCAACCACCTACACCATCTGCAACTCCAAATGCTTGTTCATCAGTGCAAATAAAATGAGCATCTTCTCCACCAGTCTCCTCCTTATCTGGATGTGGTAAGTAACAAGATCCTGAAAATAGCTTCAAAGTCTCGCCACCATCAACTGTTCTGAAAATAACACAACTAATGTTATTAGAAAGTAAATACTCTTTATAAGTGACTAATTAATTAACTAAAGAGCAAGCAATAATGTAGCGTGGCAAATAAGAAACGTAAGGACAGTCTATTACATCAAACGAAACATAATACATCACCACATGCTTGTATTTTATACTAACCTTCTCAGTTAACCATCCCTAGCACTACTCACCACATAACAGACTCCTACGAGAAATCGTTTATATGTGATCCAGCAACACTGGTCCCTCTTTTAATTATTTGAAAATTATGATTGATGCAAAACTAATGCACAGAGAGCACACTTACGGGGCTACTGTAGGGGTGGAATTTTCAAGCTGTTCATCACACGCGCTGCGGTCAAATGAGACATTGTGTGCTGCCCGAGCAAAGAAGGAAGTACAAAATGTAGCAGAGAAATTCTTCAGCCACGGTCGATGAGGAAAACTTGAAATAGTATCGAGAGTCGAATACCTAGTATTAAGAGCATTATTTAGGTAACCTTTACGAGTTCTGTCAACAAAGCAACCAGCACCAGGCTTTTTGAAGTCTAGCGTATTGCTACAGCTAGTGGAGATATCATCGACACAAACACCTCGCAGTACAGATTTGGAGGTTGAAGCAGCCATTGATTTGCTTTTAGGCGTACGGCTTGAAAAGGAAGGACTGGCATGAGATATATATGAAGTTGAACAAAGTGAAGAAACAGACGCAGATGAACGTCTATATAGCAAAGATCGCAGCCCTTGTTGCCGAGTTATTCCTTCCCGAAAACGACAGTACATGGTAGTGTTCAGCTTTGATAGATAACCAGCAGGATTCTTAAGCTCTTATGCAGAGTTCTAACATTCAGTTTCTCTTTTGGGGAAACCTAGGATGTTGCCCAGATTACAAAATCTCATTCCCTAACGAGCAAGAAGTTTTCCACCAAAGCTTTGAGACGAGAAATAAAGTTCCGAAATGCTGAAATTAATAGCTGAGAAGAAAAATAATTAAAATCAGAAATTATTGAAACCGCAGTATAAACTTCATACAAATGAACATATAATATGAAGAGATTAGAGATGCGCAGTCAATCTCCTCATTGCACATGAGGAATGAGAAAGACCATCATCACAGACACAGAAAATATGTGTAAAGAGACGCATCAGACTGGGAAATCAAACTAATTGGAGAAATAAATCCAATTGAGGGCAATCGTAGCTCGAAATATGAAGTGATTTCCCTCGATCTGAAAGAGATAATTATGAAGATGAGACGAAACGGAAAACAAAATCTTATACCAGGAAGCGAAAGATGGGCAACGCGGGCAGATTTTAGAGGTTGAGGAAGAAGCTCCGATGATGGCCTGAATGTTACACGTCGGAGCTTCTCGTTCCTCCGATGCCAAGACCTAATTCGCGTGCACCTAAGCCCACCCTTGGCTCCTAGTTAGTTAATAAAACCGACCCTTTATCCGGAAGGAAAAAGAAAAAAGTCGTTATTTTTATTTTTATTGTCAAATTCATTTTCAGTTTTTGAAGCAACCACATAAACACGGATGAGAGTAAATCGAAATCGTTACTAATATTTAGGAAAACGAAGTGTTTGGTCCCTATATTTTTACCTGATTTTAAGATCCGTTTCTATAAATTTAAAAAAAAAAAAAATTGAACCGCTGGCATGGGTTATCAAGCTTAGCTGGAAATAGGTGCCTGCCTTAAAAGGCAATGGGAGAGGCAGGCTTAGCTGCGGGAATAGTGTACTTACGATTGCTAATTTAATAGTATTGGCTAAAATCTTGAATACTTGCGATAAAAATGTCAAAATCAAATGATTTTATTTTGGTTATTCTGTAAGGGGTAGTATAATTTTTTATATGCCTGGAATTGGGGTTTATTTAAATTTTAATCCCTCAAATTTCAAACATATTATTTTAATTTTTGAAATTTAGTTTGTTTTAAAACATTAGTCTCTAAAGATGTAACGATGTTAAAATCTACTAAAGTGTCAAACAATAACGTTAAAATTGTGATGTAGGCTCACTAGATGATACCTAGCTAGATTTTGTGTGAATAATAGAATGGTAAAAAAAGAATAGGTCCTCAAATCGCAGCTATTTAGCCCCCTATTTTTTTTTCTTCTTTGCTATTCAATGTAAGAGTTATTCACTATATCGCATTTTATTATCCACACAAGATCTATTTAAATGTCATCTTGTGAGTCAACATTACCACTTTTAACGTCATTGATACATTTTAGCTGATTTTAACAATCATTGCATCCTTAAAAACTAACGTTTTTGAGATAAACTAAATTTAAAAAACTAAAAAACTAAAATCAAAATGAACTCAAATTTCAAAAATCTAAAATTATATTAACTCTTCCGTAAAAGATTAAATTAGTTACGGTCTGAGTTTGATGCAGCGAGGTATGGATTGGCGGTAAAAAATAAATAAACTTCTCTAATAGCAAGAGATTGGCGGTAAAAATAAATAAAAAAATTTAAAATAAAAGAGGGTAAAAGTCGAGGAAAGTCGAGGAAGTGAGATTGCATAAATGCAACGTGGGCTGTGGCAGCGGGAACTATTATAAAAGACAGCGGGAATGGATGACGCGTTAGTATGTTTGATAAAGTAGGCTCGTATGGAGAAGGCAGGCCAGTTAAACGGAGGATGCAACCTCAACTTTTATTACCCCTCTTTTAGGACCTGTTTAGATTAGCGACAGAAAAAACAGTTTATTTTTAATCTAATTTTAAAAAAAATAAGATTAGGTAAAAGTTAAAATAGATAAGTTGAATTGTGTTTGAATTGGAGTTTAGAAAAGTTAGTTTGTAAAATAAAATTGATAAAGGGTTGTTTGAATTATGATTGAGTAAAAATAAGCTTGTTTGTAAAATTATCAAAATGGGTATGGGTTTTAATAAATAATGAAAAATCATTAAAAAAATAATTTTACATATACAATGAATTTAAATTAAATTAATATGAAGAAGTGAATTTTAATGAGTGAATTAATTTTAAAAATTAGAAATTTTATAAAAAAATTGTGAATAGAAATTATAATTGAAAAAATACAAATATTAAAAATACATAATTAAATATTATAAATTATAAATAATATGTTGGCAAAAAATATAAATTATAAATTATAGATAATAACAAAACCTGTGAATGATGCTCCCTTTTCATTTCTCCACACACTTTTCGAGACATGATCAGACTGTATAAGGATCCGTTTGGCAGGGCTTTTGAGGGGCTTAAAAGTAATTTATTTGTAGTATAAGTAAAATTAGAAAAGTAGTTTATTATTAATTTGGTTTATGAAAAAGTAAAGTTGGGTAAAAGCTAAATTGGATAAGCTGAATTGTGTTTGAATTGGAATTCAGAAAAATTAGTTTGCAAAAGTAAAATTAATAAAAAGTTGTTTGGATTATAATTGAGTAAAAGTAAGTTTGTTTGTAAAATTACCCAAATGGGTATGAGTTTTAATAAGTAATGAAACATGATTAAAAAATGATTTTACATAATATAATGAATTAAAATTATTTGGCATTGGACCTAGATATTCATTTGGTGTTGAATATCTTGCATCAACCAAGTATTATTTTTTTAAAATACAATTTTTTTTTACCAAGAGAAATTTTATATAATTTTTTTTTAACTCGAGACAACTTTATATGTGAGATACCTCAAAAAGGCAATTTTTTAAAATACACTTTTCTAAATAAAATTTGTAAATGAACTTATAAGAATTTTACGCATTATAAAATACGAATATCATACATTTTTCATTTAAAGTATTTTAATTTTCAACAAATAAAATATAAAAAATTGAAAAAAATTTTATTATATCGAAGAAGAGTAAATTCTTACTACTATTTTTCATAACTTGAACTCTTTAGATTATTATATTTAAACAATTTATATTGTAATTTACTGCTTAATTTTAAATTTTTAATTAATTAAAACAAAATCAAATTAAAAAAAGAAGAAAAAGAACAACGGTTACCCCAATGGTATTCAAATAGCAATTGGCTGATAGAGGGAAATGAATGAAGGGGAAAGGTCAGAATTGGATGGTGGACCCACCTACATATACAATTCCAATGGTAAGCCCGATTTTTTTTTTCCCTTTAGTTGTCTACCCAGTTCATCGGAGCTTTGCTCCTACTACATTTAGATTCGACCGCGTCGCGTACCTGGCTGTGGTAGGTGAGTCTCCCAACGGGGATTTCAAATTTGATTCCCATAAGCTACAAATATCAGCTTATGTAAAAGTCCGTTTCAATCCAGCTTTTTGGGCCAAAAATCAGATGACTTAGGATATGTTTGGATTGATGTTGGGCAAAACTGACTTCTAGCCTAACTGACTTTTGTAATTGAAGTCAGAGTAAAAGTCAGTTAATGTAATGCGATTTATGTTTGGATAGGTGTTTTTAAAAAGTCAGTTGAAAAAGTTAAAAGTTGTTTGGATGATTAATAAAAAGTTAGTTTAATTGTAAATGATTGAAAAGGGCATGGACTTTATTGAATAGTAGTGTTTGAAATTTTATGTTTTGAATATGATAATTGTTGAAAAAATACCTAAAATTATTATGATAAAATAAAAATAGTTTATTTGTGAAATTATAAAATATTTATTTATTTTGTTCTCAAGTAATCCCTGTAATGATTATACATATTAAGGAGTTTTTATTAATAGGTAGTTTTAATGCACATGATTAATAAAAATATTTTAGACAAGACAATATTAATTTATTACAAATAAATAATTTAATTAATTTAATTAATATTTTTAAATTAGTTATCTAACTCTTATGTTAAGAATACGTAGTATCAAATTATTGGGTTTGTTAGGGGTAATTTTGTCTTTTTTCATTACCATCTTTTCTCTCTCCACGTTTATGACGGCAAAAGCTCAAAAAATTAGTTTCAGCGTTATGCATTTTTTTACCCAAAAGTTCATTTGCAAAAACGCTCACCCAAACATCTGTTTGAACATTTATCTGCTAGTAACGTTAGTTTGCGCCATTCCAATACACATTTTCTATTGAAAATGTTGATCCAAACATGCACTTATAAGCTCCGCTAAACACCTTCCAATTTTCCAAACGGGCTTATTAGAAAAATAAGTAGCTTTTAGAGTCTCAATCGTTGATACAAACAAGCACTTAGTGTTTTTTCTTTTAAATGTTATTGAACCATCTCGTGCTGCTCTATCACATATAAATATATGTAGATAAATGGTTGATTTTGATGATAAATATAAGATCTCAGTCTAGTTTGCTTCTTAAATTTATCAATTTTTATTTAAAATATTCATATTAATTACACATGTATAAAGAGTGTTTCTAATTAAAGGATAGTTAAGGGAAAATTTCACTGTAGGATCGCAGAAAGAAGACAATTAATATCAAACAGCCCCCCAAAACTTTCTGAAACCTCACTGCAGGACCAAAGGGACCAATCTGATATTAATTCCAAAACGAAATGACGCCACTGCCCCTCATTTTAGAGTGAGATTACAATAATACCCCTCCCTTTTTATTTTATTAAAAAATAAAATA